GCCCTTGCCTGGAAATCGAACGTGGGTGTGGCCAATCCACAGGCCGGCCGCCGCTCTATTCGATTGAGCCAAACCCAGCTAGGGCCCAGCCATAGTCTTTATTACTTACTGTAAGACAGTGGTTCCTCCCTCCTTCTGCCCTTTAAATACAGTTCACTCATGTTGTGACCCATCCATAAAATTATTTTCGTTGCTACTTCATAGCTGTCATGTGCTACTGTGATGAATCGTCATGTAAATATCTGATATGCAGGATGGTCTTAGGCGACCCCTGTGAAAGGGTCGTTCGACCGCCAAAGGGGTCGCGACCCACAGGTTGAGAACCGCTGCTCTAAGACGTAATACCCCGTCGCTACCCCATCGCCTCTTCTATATGCTACGGGTCACACAGACCAACCTGCGTGCACTGTGGGAGAGGACGAGGCAGCAAGTGGCGATTAGCAGGTGGGAATTGTTGGGGTTCATCTTGGAGTCCGGCTGCCACCCCCAGGGAGAATTGGGGAGTCGCGTGTTAAGACAGCACAGCTGCCATCAGCCTGGGTTCCTGCTCCTCTGCCCCTCTGCCGATTGGACTTCACACGAAGGAGAAATAAAACTCCGTGGTGGCCCTGACCGGTTTGGCTCAGTGGATAGAGCATCGGCCTGGGGACTGAAGGGTCCCGGGTTCGATTCCAGCAAAGGGCATGTACCTTGGTTGCGAGCACATCCCCAGTAGGGGGCGTGCAGGAGGCAGCTGATCCATGTTTCTCTCTCATCGATGTTTCTAACTCTCTATCCCTCTCCCTTCCTCTCTGTAAAAAATCAATAAAATATATTGAAAAAACAAAAAACAAAAAAACTCCGTGGTGGGAGCCACGGGTATTTCAGAGTTTATTTGCCTCGGCGGTTATCTCATACAGGGATCAATGGCCGGAGGGACAGGATCTGGAAGTTTAAACTGAACACATAGCACTTTGAGACTTTACTGTGTGCCTATGTAACTTTGATAAAGAGAATAAATACCCCAAAAGGAAAATAAACCATTCCAGCTCAATAGAAGGAAGGAATGGGGGGGGGGGACCCCACGGGGGAATAAGACGCTGATTGAACTCCACACGGATCAAAGATTTCAGTGGAACATGTGACACCATAAAAGAGTGAGAAGTAAACACTAGAAAGTTCCTTTACCACCTGGGTGTGGAGAGAAGCTTTTGAACTCAGAATCCAAAAGCCATTAAAAAAAAAAAAAAACCCCACAGGAGGCTCAAAAAAAAAAACCCAAACCAAACAAACACACAGGAGCACTGATACGTTTAAATGCATTACATAGGATCACACATTCTTCCTCTTCCCCTTCCTTCTCTTCCTGAACAATACAGTCCTCAGGCCCTTGGGCGGAGGAGGCCAGGCCAGCTTGGGGAGGGGGTGGGACAGTGGCCCCGAACAGGGGTCAGGACCGTAGAGGGGTGTGGAGGGGTGTGGGGGGCTTCCACTCACAAGGCAGCTGAGCACAGAGGGAAGCTCCCAAGTGGGAGAGGGGAGTGGAAACCCATGCTGGGTGAGGAGGGCCTGGGAGAGGGTGGAGGAGGGGATGGGGAACACACAGGGGAATTGATCAAAGAAGCAATTTAAGGAAAATGGACGTCAGATTCCTCACGTCTGG